GGTCACGTTCCGGGGCTGAATCTCCTGCCCGGGACGCGAGGGGCGGGGGGCGTCCATGAATGGTGCGAGTGGCTTCAGTGTGGCAGGTGCACGAGCCCCTTCTGAGTCTCATTTCGGGTGCATCCTCGGGATAACTCCCGTCGCGAATCGATGCCGTCCCCCCGGATTAAAACCTCCCATTGCACTGCACACAACTAATAACGGCCGGACCTCCAAGCTCCCCGCTCCCCTGGGTTCCTGTAGGTCTAGGAATCGAGTACAACTCGCTGGCTCTGCTTGGCACTTTCAGGTTTCAGCCGAAAGGGTCCTTCTCTGACCCCCCCCAAGATTGCCCCGTTTAATTTCTTCCGTCACTGTCACCACTTGGGGAGGTTGTGTTCTTGCTTTATTTCTTGTGACTTACCTCCCCTGCCAGAGTTTAGTGCACACATGTCACTGTGTGAGACCCATCCTTTTGCCACCATCCGCTTAAGGGGATCTGGCCTCTCTCAGCCTTCTGTATTTATTCTGGAGCCTTCCACTTGCTTACCAAAGCATGTGATTTCCACCAACATGGATTTATGTACCAGTCAGTCAGTCCTCGATTCTTGAAGATGTTACAGGAAGGTTTGGAACAATCTACCCCTCCCTTCTGGTGGCACTTAATTTAGTGAGCCTGGCTTCAAGGAAAGCAGATCACTAAGCTCTGGTCTTTATCATTTATGTTTTAAAATTCCTTATTGAGTATATGTTTACAATCACACGGCTTTAAAACAAATTCAAACAATACAGAATGCATTGGCGCTGTTGTTAAAACATTTCACAGAGCGGATTGACACCATGGTGCATGCCCCTAGTGTCTGTCCCTAGCTTCTGAACCCCACCCCACTCCATCCCTTCTCCCTGAGGTAACAGCTGTTAGTGCTTTCTCATCGATTCTGGGGAGAACCTGTGTGCATAATGTGTTGTTAGGTGCCATCTAGTTGGTTCCAACCCATAACAACTTTACATACAACAGAATGAAACACTTTTCCTGTGCTATCCCCACAATTGTTTCTATTCTTGGGCCCTTGTGGGTTTTCGAGAGTGCATGCTAGTAATTTTCGGAATGTTTTCTGTGTGCAAGTTAAGACTTTCTTTCTCTATCTAAGCATTAGATACTTCTCATTAAACACAAAGTATCTCGAAATGGGAAGCAATTTAAAATCATCTTCACTCTACCTTGTTGTTAGGTACTGGCTCATAACAACCGTCTGTACAGCAGAACAAACTGCCTGGTCTTGCACCATTCTCTCTTTTTCTCCCACCCTGCCCCTTAATAAAAACTTTTATTGATTTAGGTGAAGGTTTACAGAACAAACTAGTTTTCTATGTAATAATTCATGCACATTTTGTTTCATATCATTGATTGCAATCCCCACAATAAAACTTTGTTTAGCCCACTTCCTCCCAATGTTTCCTGTTTTTGCTCTTTTTGCTTTCCTAACCCTTTTGAGCTTTGTCTCACATCATTTCATGTTTGAGTCCATTGTTGCAACCACTGTGTCAGTTCATCTTGTTAAGGGTCTTTGTCTTTTTCACTGGCCCTTTCTAGGGACTTGTGGTTCCTTAGAATGTGTCCAAAGTACCAGAGACGAGGGCTCAGCATCCTTGCTTCTAAGGAGAACTCTTCCTGTCCTTCTGACAGATGTGTTCATTCTTCTGGTAGTCCATGGTACATTCAGTGTTCTCCACCAATACCATAATTCAGTGACCCTGAACCTTTCAGCGTTTGCATTTCCTTTGTAACTTGATAGCTAGTGTTTAGCCAGTTTTTAATTTAGGCTTTGGGAAAATGAGCTATAATTTGCATGGGATAAAATCTAACCTTTGATGTGTTGAAGTCTGTGTTTTTAGTATGTTTATATGGTTGT